ATATATATAATATTCGTTTTTTGTTGCTACTGCCACCCCTACCCACCTCACTCTCTTCCTATAAAAAAACAAACATTTTAGAAACATTTTTAAAAAGAACGAAAAAACAATTATATTAATATTATTGTGAACAAAAAAGATGGCAACAACACCTTCAAACAGATCTCTTTGAACTTCTTTTGAATTTTACCCAGTAGGCCCAGGACTTTGCTTTGCGGGAGCTGAGTAAAGCGTAGGGCCCAATTAAGAGTTTGACTGTCCCCTCAAGGTCCTTGGTCCTATCTTGTGTGTGGTGGTAGATTCACTAGATCTAGATCTAGTCTAAGTAGATTAAGTATATTTAGTAGAGGTGTATAAAAATATTATTGTGACTGCAAACCCTTACATTTTGTTTGTTTGTTGTTGTTTTTTTATAGTAGTAGTAAGAGTTTTATGGAACTTGCAACACCAGTAGAAAGTGTGACAATGATTAGAGGGGCTGGTACTAGTTTTGAAGAGTAACGGTGGGTGGTTGGCGGGTGCTCTGGTGTGGTTTGCTTCTTCTTTCCTATCAAACGTCTATCGTCTTTATCTCCCCTCCTTTTTTGTGTTTGTTACTCTCTTGTAGCACCTCTAATCTTCGGCACATATATGAACTTATTGTGTTGCAAGTACCGTAAAACACTTACTAAAACTAAAACGAAGCGTAACATACATACTTGTAAGCAGGAGAAGGAGAAGGTGTAAGGACAATAAATGTTTGAGAGTCCTAAGAATAAGCAAACCACACCACAGCATTTGCTAACCACCCGCCTGGAAAATCAGAAACAAAATTCCTCTGCTACTGAAGACATTCATTTGTCTTACAGTTTGTCAAAAAGTCCCAGGCTTTTCTTACAGCGTAAAGGTGGCTCGATACCATCTTTTAATGGACAGTGTATCTTTTTACTTTTCTGTCTCTTTTAAGTTAGTTAAGATTCATTATTAAGATGAGCTAAAAATCCTGCATTGTTTTAATGTGAATTTGTAGATGACCTTGTATCCTAAAATGTTTTTCTTTTTCTTCTTCTCGCAGTTATGAAAGATTCAGAGATGAAGAAGACCCCATGTCCCCGTCTCCGATAGTAGTTACAGGGAAAGACATGAAGACTCCCTAGGAACAGACATTGTGGTCAGCCATGTAGATGTTTGATGGTGAGGAAAGATGTCTATCATTCAACAAGGTCTTCCTCCTCCCTACTCCGACCCTCAGGGAATGGTTGGAGTAACTGAGGCCAGGTAACATAAATTATTCTTCCGTTTAGCTGAATTTTTTTTTTCTTAAAATGTAGAAGATGTTTTTACTGCTGTGTATCTCACGCCTTTCTACATTTCAAGTCTGCCATTGTGCGTTAATAATCCAGCAGCCGATGATATTGATTCTGGTTTGTCGAAGACGGGCACTAGTGCCAAGATGTTAAAGTTGGGGAAAGAAAGACTGGAATATGAAGGCAGTGGGGGGTGGAGTATATTGGAAAGGTTGTAGTTAAAGACCTACTACACTTAATGCTTGAGTGGAGAAAAATAAATTAATCGAGAGTACGATGAGTGTTGTTTTAAATAGTTGAGCAAAACTAGAATATAGAAGGGCATGACAGGTCAATGTGCATGTATTGTTGTGATTAGGATCCCGAGTCCTTCGTCTTTAAGCTCCCATTGAGTTAATCTCTACACAGTTGATGGAACCTGTTCTTATGTTCATCTGTGTAAGACAGTCACATATGTACACACAGCCACTTCTCATTTCCATTTTGCATTATAATAGTTGTAATGTGATGATAAAGTGCTATCTAATCCTAGATTCTACTCGTTAGTCTATCTACGTTGGTTTCGATACTCACTGTTTCGAACGGGGAACGATGAGTGTGAGTCGTACAGGTCCGGAGCTCCATCCACTGTGTCGACCCACCAGTAGCGTCGATCCCTGTGTCGACCCACCAGTAGCGTCGATCCCTGCTCAGACTATGTTTTAGTCGTGGCTCGGAAGGCCGGTTTAACCTTCGCGTCTGTTTATATACCCCCCGTGCTCCCGTATTCTCCTACGCTCACAAGGCTACACTGAGTTTGTTCACTTATTTCACGTGATTCTGGCTTGTCTGGTGATCACAGCGGATTATAAACCACAATAGTTTTACAATATAATGCTACTGTATAAGATAGCCCCCTGTGTATATAAGACGGCCACTTTTCACCTCGGCCGTGGGTGGCCGTCTTAGATGAGATTTTGTATTTATTTTCTTTGTGACTAGGGCTTTCCTGCCCTTAAGCTTAAGTACAGCAGACCTACTTTCTCTGAACACATCAGTGTGCATTGAAAAAGGATACTATAAGCACATAATAACTAATGTAAGACTGAATGACGTAGATCTAACTGGGAAGTTGTTGAGAAATGAAGTCTGCTTTGAAAAATATTTTTGGTGACTTTTCTACTTGCTCCTATACTATACATTTCAATATTAGGTACCGGAAAAGCAGAGGCAGGCCCAGACAAAAGATGGATAATGGGGTTCTGTTAAACATAAGATAAAATATTGTATTCATGCAACAGGCAATGCAACAAACGCCTCAGGTGACAGAGGCAAGAAAAAGTTAAAGTAAAGAATTAGAAAGGTACCGCTTTTTTTGTGCTTTTTTTTTTTGCTCTTTTACTTTTTAGTACAGTTTGTTTGATGATAACTGAGAGCTGTTGCACAAACAATTTCAGTTCTTTAGTTGGTACACAAAGATGAATGTGGCAAAGACATTATATTTATATATAGTCCAGCGTATGCATAGTGAAATCTGCAGGCAGCGGAAATTGTTTATTTACAAATTTCGCTTTATATTGTTTATATATATATATATATAGGAAAAAATTTGGAACTTGAAAATCTGTTCACTATGTGCGTGCTTTCTATGTGTGTGCTAGACCGTATTTAGCAGAAAACGTATTCTGCCAGGTGTTCAAGTCCGTATATATCTGTGCCCTTTGTAGAACGCTGTCTACATCTTGTGTCATCCTCAGCATGCAGCAAAGCTTCTTGACCCTGGCCAGTCAAGACAGCACGGTGCCCACCACCATCCACACGGAGCTGGTGCACCCGGTCACCGACGCCGGGGAGAACCAGGACGCCTTCAAACAGAGCATATACAGGTGACCAGACTTCTAGGGCTCCCTTCCTGATAGAGCAATATAACGTCGGGGTCGCAAGCAATCCACTTTTAAATTGGGGTCGCAAGCAATCCACTTTTAAATCGGGGTCGCAAGCAATCCACTTTTAAATTGGGGTCGCAAGCAATCCACTTTTAAATTGGGGTCGCAAGCAATCCACTTTTAAGTCAGTTTGGGCACTTTTTACACAGGAGACGAAAAACTAGTTGTTGTTGTGTTGTTCCTATCAGGAATCACGAAAAGCAAGAAAATTGTAAGCCTTGACCATAACGTTAGCCTGTATTTTGGTGATGTTTAAAGATGCATCTTTGATAGAGCTTTGGGAGGGTATAAAAATGGAACATTCTCAAAATTTGGACTGAAGTGAATTGCTTGCGACAAGAACGATAAGGCTAGGGTTTGCATGTTAAAATCTTTACCTCTATAAATAAAATTACATGTACTTAGCTGCCAACCAGTACCGTACATAACTAAGGAGTCTAGTGTGTCTTACAAGGTTCTTAGTACAGAAGTCTAGTTTTGCACTGGAAAATGCGTGTATTCTTTGTTTTCTGATATATTGGTCCTCACGGACTTGCAGAGGCTGAATGATAATCATGAGCGTTCAAGACATGATGAATTGCTAATAATAATTAGAACGATACACCCATGAGTCAAGTGGGGATGTTCTTTTGCTGGCCAACTTTAAAAAGCTTAACTCATTCAGTGCTGAGTGCTACAGCAGTGAACTCCCCTCATATACTTTTACGGAAAAGAAAGCGAGACTCTGCTAAACCTCTGTTACGAACTTTGCATTGGCTTCCTGTTGAGAAAAGGATTGTGTACAAGTTGGCCACCATATGTCACAAATGTATCATATTTATCAAATCTGTTAAGACTGTACATTCCAACTCGCAGTTTAAGGTCATCAGCTGACAAAAAGAAATTTATTTTAGCATCTATGAAACTTAAAACAATGAGTGAAAGGGCATTTGAATACCAAGGCCCAAAGATCTGGAATGCTTTACCAAGTACTTTGAGAGAAATCAAATCTTTTGATCCATTCAAATGTCAGCTGAAGTCGTTTCTGTTTTTAAATTAATAAGATGAATATTTGGAATAATTTTTCTTTAATCAGAACACAACGTTTCATGTTACTGTTGTATGTTGTACTGTATTGTAAAGCGCTCAGAGCCTGTGTACTTTATTCGGGGTTGAGCGCTATATATAAATGTCATTTATTATAATTTATTATTATTAAACTGGGCAGTTTTGTTATGGCAACGTGTAATTTGGTCTTCCAACGAAAGTTAATCCAAACCAGCATGCTCAATTTCTGTTTGAGCAGAAAAAAATATAATCTCCTTGACCTTTCCCATAATGCATCACGATTAGTAAAAGTAAACTAACTTGGTATTGACTAGATAGAATAATTCTTTCTATAAAGATAGCGAGACAGAATGTGAGAACACTGGTCGCTAGTGTGTGGGTGGGGCCCAGGTTTCGCGAGTATTCTCATCTGTAGCGCTGAATGAGTTAATCAGGTAGAAAGAATCCCAGTGATTTAAATTTTGTTGATAAGTGCATCATAAACATTCAGGCTAGATCTATATATTTATTTTTTTAAAAAGAAAAACCACAGAAATTTTTTTTGAAGATTTCGCTGGCGTTGGATCCTCTCAACTTGTCTGATCTCATCCAGTCAAAACAAAGTGAACATTATTATTATTTTTTTTAGAACGAACAAATTTAAAAATATGAAACGTTTTCCTTCTTAATTTTGTTGCCTGGGCGCTGATGCTGTGCACAACACCCCTGATTCCCCCATGGACATTGTCTTCCTGTCTCCTAACAAGATTGTGGGGGCTCTCGTGGCCTAGGGGTTAAGGTGTTGGCCTCTCATTCAAAGGTCACGGGTTCAAATCCGGGTAGCGACCGAAAAGTTTTCTTCTCTAAATTTGTCTCCTTTCACCTCATTTCCTGCTCTCTAGCAATGTTCTGTCGTCTGCTTTCGTCTCCTCTTTCTGCCCCCACCACCTCACCTCCTTTGCCCCTTCCTCTGGGCTCCTGATTCTTTCTGCAGCCTTTCTACTGCTACTCCTTGGCTTCTTACTGCTGTCTTTCAGCCACACCCCTGATCTTCTGGTAGGAAAGATCTACGCCTAGCCTTCTCGAACAAGGGCGAAAAATCTCGGAGGGCCCGTGTGCAAGTTGCGCACGTTAAAGATCCCTTGGTGGTCTAAAATCGATAAGAGTAGGCTTCGGCCGCCACTCGTGCAAAATTCAAAATTTCCTACCAACTGAAAATATTAGGTGTGTCCTGCGCGCTCATATGACCTTATGCAGTTACGAGCGCCGTAAAACACTTTACAGAAACAAAAAATAACAAGATTGTTTGCTTGTGTGGCAGGCACCCCCTGTTCCCGCTCCTGGCTCTGATGTTTGAGAAGTGCGAGAGCGCCACCGCCTCGCCCGACACGGCCTCCCACGGCTTCGAGAACGAACTCCAGGCTTTTGCCAAACACCACGACCACCTCAAGACACCAGTGCTCGGTGCAGACGAGGAGGTCAACGAACTGGTCAGTGGTCCTTTGTGATGTGTGCTGACAAACAGGGTTACTTCTCGCTATCTGGGAATGAATGTATCTCTGCTAAATAGTGGCACAATTGTCCAATTTTAACTGATGCCGTTTTCTTCAAGATTAAAACAATTTTCGGGCATTTGGAGTTATTGGTATGATCTTACAGCTTGTTCGTTTGTCCTTTATTGAAAAACAAAATACATATCTCTATCTTGAATAGAAGGAGAGATATTTGCAATAGAAGCAGGTGTGGGTTGCTTGGTGTCAGAGATAAAATTAAGGAGAAAATGGCCCCCAAGGGTGGGTTTTGTTCCTGGAAACCACAAATTATTACATTTTATATTCCCTTGTTTAACATTTTTCATTTTTTCAGTAAAATCCACACAGAATTGTGTTTTTGAATAGACATTAACTCTTTGAACCCCGTTGGACACTGAGAGCGTCCAGTACTAGTGACAATTGTTTCGTTTTATTAAGTGCTAGTTTTTGCTTGTTTTTTCGGATTCCCGGACCAAGTTTTTTTAGTTAATGACAAAGCCTTTGTTTCTGCTATTTAGAAGCTGGAGGCAAGCTTTTGGGGTTATAATGAGCCATAGTGCACCAGGTTTAGGTGACTGTCGAAAAAAAATTCTGGGAAACGGTAGAAAAAACTCAGGGCTTAAAGAGTTAAAGGTCTTGATCCCAAACAAAAAAGTTTCCCAACAGACTAAAAAGTATCAGGTTCTTCCATTTCTTTGACAAGCGCCGCCTGATTTCATCACAATACCACACATGGTTTTGCTCTTTAAAAAAAAAGAAAATTAAACAAACCGATGGAAAGATAGGAAAAGAATGGGGAAAAATAAAAAGAATTATAGATGATCTCCTATTTGGTGATATTATTATTTCTTCTCGTGACCTGATTCTTTTTAAGAATTTGTTCACTCATTTGATTTCTGTTCACTTCTTGTCACTTTTGTGTGGCCAGATGCTGAAAGCCATACAAGTGCTGCGCATCCACTTGATGGAGGTAGAGAAGGTGACGGAGCTGTGCCGAGACTTCTGCAGCCGCTACATTTCCTGTCTGAAGAGCAAGCTGACCTCGGAGAGTCTGCTGCATGTGGAGGGCTGTGATTCTCCGCCCCCTGGGGAGTTGGCAGGTGATTAGGCTCCTCCCACCATGTCTTCACTTTATTCAGGGATGCCATTTTATGTTTGGTTTTTCCTGTTGTTTTCCCTGAAAAGAACAGCAATTATTCTGAGCATTTCGGCTGTTTGCTGTGAAACTTTGCCATCAGACATTTTGAAACGTGGCTGTAATGAAATGATATAAGTGCTATCTAATCCTAGATTCTACTCCTACGTTGGTTTCAAATATTCACTGTTTCGAGCGGGGAACGATGAGTGTGAGTCGTACAGGTCCGGAGCTCCGTCCACTGTGTCGACCCACCAGTAGCGTCGATCCCTGCTCAGACTAGATCTAGGTTTTAGTCGTGGCTCGGAAGGCCA